CCATCTGGGTTAAGTTATACTTTCTTGTATTGTTAAATTCCATCTTGAAATCTCTTTCCTCTGTCTCGTAGTCAGTTGTCTGTTTTTTTCTACTCACTATTTTTATTTTCTGAGAGTTTTTATGTTGTAAAGTTAAATTGGACATGTGTTTATTTATGTTTTCAAGGTTATGTTTAATTTCCTTGTGATTTGAGATTATTGTTGTTTGGATTAGTTGCAACATAGCATAGATCTCCTTCTGGAAAGTATTTGTTTTTTCTTGGTATATTCTTTCTGCAGATCTCTGATTTTCCATGATAGCCAAAAATCAGGGTTTTCCTTTCTCTGCAGACAGCTTTAGAGTCACAGTTGAGTTAGTATTTGTAATCCAGAAAGGTCAATCCTTTTTTTTAGAGTTTATAATTCTCACTTTGTAGAAAACCCAAGGTGTTTTCTTTTTTCTTTCTTTTTGTCACTGCTGTTCTCTGTTATTAAGACATTGAAGGCCATCAAAATCAAATTTATCTTTTCCTGGGCCTTGCCAGTCCCTTGGGATTTTTCTTTTTCTTTTTCCCCCAGGAAATCAATTTCCAAGTAGAAGAGAGAAAATCACTGTTCTTACCCAGTTCCAAACACGTTGTTTATAGTCAGCTTGAAGTAGTACTTTTGGACTTCGGTTGCTTGTAACTTGGGCTAGACTCGGAAGTTAAGCTAGCCCAGTGATGGCGAACCTTTTAAAGACTGAGTGCCCAAACTGCAACCCTAAACCCACTTATGCATCATCGAGTGCCGGGTGCGTGTGGCCCATTGGGTGGGTGTGGCCCATTGGGTGGGCGTGGCTGCGGTGGTAACGGCAGACTGGGTGGGACTAAAAAGTTCAATCAATCAATTCCAACTTTGCAAGATCTTTTTTTTTCCGTGAGAAGTTAAAATTGACTGATTGAACCTTTTTTTTTTTTTGCACACAGCGGCGGAGGCCTAAAGCGAAAAGGTTTTATAAAACCCAGCTGAAGGTCTAGGACTGGGGCAATGGCATGCGTGCCCACAGAGAGGGCTCTGAGTGCCGCCTCTGGCACCCGTGCCATAGGTTCGCCACCACTGAGCTAGCCTCTTCTCCTGCCGGTTTCTGGAGGGCTTTTCCCAAACCGACCGGATCGACCGCCATTTCTCCACAATCAGCGGGACTTCCCCCCTTCTATGTTGCCTCTATGGGGCAACTTCAGGCCCATTTAGGGTCCCCTGGCAGGTGGAAATCAGCCATAGGGTGCGGAGCCCCACGATCCCTCGGCTGCTGTGCTACTGTGCAAAACTGGAATCTAAGTCAGTATTGACTCTTGGTCACTGCTTGGACAAGTCTCTGCATCTTTCTTGGCAAGATTTCCTAAGTGGTTGCCATTGCCTCCTTCCTGGGACAAAGAGAGGGTGACTGGCTCAACATCACCGAGCTGGTTTTATGCCCAAGGCAGGATTAGAATTCACAGTCTCCCAGTCTCCAGTCTGGTGCCTTAACCATTACACCAAACTCCAGTCATACTTCTCTTCAGTGCTTTTTTTCTAAAAAAAAAAAAAAAAGATGCAGGAACTCACACATGTCATACAACCTGCCTTGTCTACCCTACAAGGTTCCATCCAAAAAAGGTGCCGGAACTCCGTTCTGGGCGTTCTATGAGAAAAAAAGCCCTGCTTCTCTTTAACCAAGCATAACTTGGCATTCTTGGTTGGATTGTGATCTTGGAATGGAATGGGATTAGATAGGACAGAAACTTCTTCAGTCTTTACTTTTCTGTTGGCTTTGTGCAAGTCCTCTAGGTGGGTGAATGTTGTGAAATTTGTTGGGCTGATGTTATGTAGCCTATTTCAGTTAAGCTCTGCCTGTCACTCTGTTTTCAGATTGCAACATTTTGACTTAAAACTGTCTGTCAGATGCCAAGCCCTTCGGGAGAAAGCTCTTTTGAACCAAGCTGGATTATGCTGCTTATATTATGTCCTGAAAATAAATAAGTCACAGGAATACTGTAGCTAATTTTCTGGAGTGGGCATTATACAGTTATCTACAATTATCATCTGCTCCTGAGAATTACTATTATTAGGAATTACTAATGGAGCAGATGAAATCTCAACAGCAATTTTATTCAAAATATGCAATAGAAAATTTATCAATAGTTTAAGAAGCAGACCAAAAAGTGTTGGTAATAGTTCTGGTCCATTATGGAAAAATGCAAAACGAAACAGAAAAATAGTCTATGCTTTCATTTTCTGGGGCATAAATTCTAGAGAATATTAAGGATCTTTTTTAAAAAATGCTAACGACTACATGAGAGATGCTCAAGCTCACAAACTTCCCTTTTTCCCCTCTTGGCTAATCAACCAACATGGAAAGGTTTATGCTCAGTCATGGCACTGAGGTGATTTATTTGATTGTTGCAATAAACAGACAGCATCTTTTGTGCTCCCGTGCATGCATTTTGGATCATATTGGTTCTTCATAATGGTACCAATCCCTGGAACTAGAAAGGATGCTTTTGACAAATTCATGTGACTGAGACCATAGGTCTCACTAGACTGATCATCACTAGCAATGATAATAATTTACATGGATGATCTGAAGCTGCATGGAAAAACACCATCTGAAATAGAGTCACTGCTCAACACTGTCCAAATATACAGCCACAATATTGCAATGGAGTTTGGAATGGACAAATGTGTCACCATCAAACAGAGAAAAATAGTGAAAACTCAAGGAATCAAGGTGCCCTACGGAAATAATATCAAGCGTCTGGAGATGATCACTACAAATATCAGGGCCTCCTTCAAGATGACAACATCAAGCACACTGAAGTCATAATCATGCCCTTCATCCATACAGTGATGTGGAAAATAGGTGGGTGTGGAATATTGCATGTACACCAGACAGTTGGGAAAGAAAAAGGGCATTGGAAAAATATCTCAAGGACAGTGAAGAAGATGCACTGAAGCTATGCCATGAAGGCTTACTGAGTTCTGGAGGGTCCAAACTGGCCTATAAAAAAGACCAAATGAAGAACAGAAAAGAAACATGATAAGGTAAAGCATTACATGGCCAGTACATTAAAAAATAGCAGACAAAGCAGACAGCAAGGCAATGGCTAAGAGCAGGAAAATTGAAGAAAGAGACTGAGGGGCTAATTCTGGCTGCACAAGACCAAGCCTTAAGAACAAATGTATACAAAGCCAGAATTGAGAAGACAACGAATGCTGCTTCTGCAAAGAAGCTCAAGAAACAGGTTAGCTACCACAAGAAGAGCATATAAACTGACTACAAGCAACAGCGGTACAAAGTAGCAACAATGGTGCATTGAAAGATCTGCAAGAAATACCATTTGCCTGCAAGCAAGAACTGGTGGGACTACAAAATAGACATAGTAATAGAAAATGAAGAAGCTAAAAATGCTCTAGGACTTTAGAATTCAAACAGAAAAGCACCTGTCACCTAACATCCCAGACTTAACAATTGTCAAGAAAGACCAAAAAAGTCTGGATAGTGGCATTGCAGTACCTGGAGATAACAGAAGAGAAGAGAAAGAACTGGAGAAAATTACAAAACATGAAGACTTGCAAATGATTATTGCAAAAGAAAGCAAAGATGCTACCAATGATAATAGGTGTCTTGAGTGCAATCCCCAAACATTACACAATCACCATGAGTCAAATGCAAAAGACAGCTTTACTTGCAACAGCTTGGTGTTGTTCAGTCGCTAAGCTGTCTGACTCTTCACAGCCCCATGGACCATAGCATGCCAAACACTTGTCTTCCACTGTCTCATTTCATACACAAGGGTGGCTGAGCTGTGAGAGTTGAACTATCATCCAGTTTGTTCAAATTCATTTCATTGAATTGATGACCCCATCTAACCATCTCATCCTCTGCCATCCCCTTCCTCTTTTACCTTCAGTCTTTCCCAACATCAGGGTCTTTTCCAGTGAATCCTCTCTTCTCATTTAGGTGGCCACAGTATTTGAGCTTTAGCTCCAGTTTCTGTCCTTCCAAAGAACAATCAGGGTTGATTTCCTTTAGGATTGACTGATTTGATTTCCTTGCAATCCAAGGGACTTCTCCAACACCACAATTCAAAATTTGGCACTCAGCCCTTCCTTGTGGTCCAGCTCTCATAGCCATCCCTTACTAATGGGAAAACTATAGCTTTGATTATAGATGATACCTTTAACACTGTCCAATAAGAACATCTGTCTATCTGAGGTCCTTGGGAAGGACTTGATAGGCGGATATAAATGTCAACTTCAGGCTTAGCATCTGGCTGACTGTGCGATGATTGTATTATTATTATTATTATTATTATTATTATTATTATTATTATTATTATTATTATTATTATTATTATTATTATTAGTAGTAGTAGTAGTAGTAGTAGTAGTAGTAATAGTAATAATAATAACAGCAATAATAATCCCAGCCATCCTTGTATATGACTTAGCCACTGCCCCACCTCCCATAATTGTTTCCTTCTATATCCACATATTACCAGCGGGGACATTCCCGTTTAAATAGTATATTCCCCCCCCCTCGTTCCTTAAACAGGCGCCGCTTCCCTCCCAGCCGGGGAGCCTCCCATTCAATCTGTGCTATTCCAAAGTGGGCGAGGGTGGGACGCCTCAGCCAAGCGTGCCTGACCCGCCTCCGCAAAAGCAGCGGCAGTAGCCGCGTCTTGCCGAGGAAGGCGGCCGAGCCCAAGGCTGCCTTATTCTACCTCGGCTAGCCGGCCATTGGGCGCCTTTTCCCCCCTTCCCCCATCACGCAACACCAGAGTAGCGCCAGTATTGAGCCCCGGCACTGTCACTTAGCAGCCGCCGGGCTCCGCCTCGGGAGGGGGGAGCGGGGAGGGGCGGTCGATCGGTCCCGCCTCTTCTCGATCGATTGGGGCCGGAGCTGCCTCGGGATTGGTCAGGGGAGCCGTCACTTGCCCGGGCGAGTTTTGCTGCCCTCTTCTTGTCACGCCGCCGCCGCCGCTGCCGCCGCCACTCGGGGTTGGGGCGTTTTTTCGCGCTGCCGCTCTGCCCTTCTCCGGCTGCTGCCGCCGCTCTTGATGTTCTGAGACAGAAGGGAGGGGAGCGGTGGCGGCCGCTGGACCTTCTCCCTTTTCCTCTCTCGCTCTTCTATCATCTTGGCTTGGCCCCCGGCTTGGGGAGGGGGGAGCGCCTTCTCCGCCATGGCCACCAGCACCACAGGCTCCACGCTGCTGCAGCCGCTCAGCAACGCCATTCGGCTACCCATAGACCAGGTGAGGAGCCCCGGCGCGCGCAGGGAAGCAGCCCCTCTTAAAAAAAAGGGGGGGGGGCGAGCCGGCCCGAAGGATGGAGCCCCCTCCCTCGGCACCNGTGGAGTCGTGTTCCCAGGGTGTGTATATTTGCTTGCTTGCTTGCCTACCAATTCAACCCTTTCCCCCGTGATTAAATAGATGTCATGGGGTAACCTGGCTTGTTTGCTCAGATAGGGAGAAAGCGTGGAAGACAGGTAATTAAAACAGATTTTAAAACTGGATGCTTGGAACCCAAAGTCTTCACTTTGTATTTTTAGTGGTGAGACATTCAGGCTCCTTTAAAACCTGTGATATCCTTCCTGTTGATCCTCTTGAGCAGTGGTTCTCAACCTTTTTAATGCCGCGACCCCAACCGGTCGTAAGTCGAGGACTAAACCGGTCGTAAGTCAAGGACTAAACCGGCCGTAAGTCGTGGACTACCCAACCGGTCGTAAGTCAAGGACTTTCCCTGCCCGGGAGCACCACGCATGCGTGGTTCCGCCCCCTGCACCGGCCGAGGTGTAGCTGGCAAACGGCAGAGACGGAGCAGGCCGACCACCAGCTGGTCCAGCCCAAGGGAGGTAAGGCACCCGCTGGAAAAGGGAAAAAAATGGCGGACAAAAAAAATGGCGGACAGCCTTGCTTGGCGACCCCCATGAAATGGTCGATCGACCCCAAATGGGGTCCCGACCCACAGGTTGAGAACCACTGCTCTTGAGGGTTAGGATTTCATAGGTATCAGTTTGGCCTTAAGTAATTGTAGCACTTTTCATTGCCTGGCTGCGTGAGAAAGATTGGGATGCTAGATACTTGCAGAGCTTATGCGGTTAATAAATGGACAATGTTGTATGAATAGCACATACTTCTTGTGTATCTTTAAATAACTGCAATGTATTCTGATGTTCACAGAGAATAGGAAAAGATGCAAATGCTAGGTGGCTGTAAAGTTCATAAATGTTACAAGTTAGCTATCTCCCAGAAACAGGCACACAAATCAAATTTCTACCTACTCCGGATGGTTAAAATTCACAGCAAAATTCGCATGCATTTTAATTACATTTATGTCAGTACTGAAAGTGATACCTTTTGTCACACAGTGAGAAACGATAGCTGTGAAAATCTTACAGTTTTAAACTTTAGGTTTTCCATTGTACTAAAAAATGTTTACAGGGAGCCAATATGGATGTGATCTTACTAAGGAAAATTAAATTGAAAATTATCTTTCTTTTCACCCCAAACTGTTTCTGATAACAAGTATTTACCAATATAAAGAACATTTTAAAGAAAGCCACTGACATTAAAGAACAAGAAAAGGAACATGTAGGGAAATAACTCAATTTGTGGCAATATTTTCTGAGTAGTATTTATATGATTAAAACAAAATTCCTATAATGTGATTTGAATGAAGTGAGACTGAATCACTTTTACATTCAGCTGCCATTTTATTTACAAGTAAATAGCTAGATCACTGGCTTCTTACAAAAATATATATATATTTTTGAAAAAATGAAATCCCCAGTCTATGAGTTGGAAAAAAAATCACACTGTGTATACATAAGGGAATGTTTGTGATAATAGCGAATATCTGTAGCTGGGGTGTAGGAAGAGGGTGGAGATTCATTCTCTGAACTTGTGGGTTGGTTTCCCACAAGGGAATGTTGCTGAGGAGTGCTATGAAATATTAGGATGTTTAAATCCCATTATTTCATTGGAAAGTAGTTTTACAGAGATCAGGGGAACCACAAACTCCTTAGCTTGGATGAATGTTATGCATTGTATGTTTTTTTTATATTGAAAAAGTTTGAGCAACTTTTTTCCTGCACGCTTAACTTGAGTTAGGTTGCTTCTGCATAGTTTAGATTTTCTCCACACTACTAATGGAGATAGTATTCAGACAATTGGCTATGTCTTGCGAAAAACATTTCATACTTTACTGGAACATTCAGTGTGAGTGTATTAGCATTTTATCCCTAATATCAGTATGGATGTTACTAATATTTGTCTGCTGAGCGTTCAGGGAGTATATATTATTCATACACCTATTTTATTGCTATTTCTTATAACAAAACAGTTGTGGAAAATAAAATTCTCTGTAGTAAGGACTGAGCTTGTAATTTGTTGCAGAAATACCACCGTGTGCAGAAATACCACCGTTCATTTACAGTAGGACCAACAGATCTGGTTTGCAAACATTTGGATGACCACTAGATGGCAGGTGGGAGTTAGAATTTTTGTATCTCTTTGCTACCATCTACTGCTCCTCATCTAGATTTTTGCTGCCTAGATCAGGGGTCCCCAACCTATGGTCTGCGCCCTGGTACTGGACCGTGGCCTGTGGGCTACCAGGCCGTGGGAATAGCTGGCGAGCCTCCCCACTTGTAGTGCCGCTGTGGGGGCGCTAGCAGCCCCATTTGTGCATGCATGGTGCTAGCACCACCAGCATCACGTGGGCACTAGCGGCCTGTTTGTGCCTGCATGCAGGCGCCAGCATGCTGCTACAGGTGCACGTAACCTATTTGGGCAGGTACACACTCTAGCGCTGTTGCCGTTTGTGCACCCATTTGTGCATGCATGTGCGGGCTGTGTGCACGCACATTTCCCTGCTCTTCCTTTTCCTTCCGGGCCGCCAAGTCGGAAAGATTGGGAAGCTCTAACCTAGATCCAGTAGCCCTGCTTATGCAGTATTTTCTGTCAACATTGTTTGACAGAATTAAATTTTGTGATAAATATATTAAAATACTTTCTGAAATTTTCTTATGGTGGACCGATGTATGATAATTCTTCATCTCCAATGACTGTTGAAATATAATTAACAGTTATAATAACTCAGTACAATATTTAAACTGTCCAAAATAGATAGCTTTATTTACTGTCCAAGAACTTGTTTAAAACTTTCATTAGAGAAGTCTCAACAAGTCTTGAGTTGAACCTACATTTGTGACGCTTCTCTGCACAAAACACACCTGATATGCACTTCCACATGTCACTATAAATAGAATTTTCTTAGGGCTATTTTTCAAATGTTATTTATTTATTTATATCATCTATGTACCCCATTTGGACATTTTCATGTACTGAATCCTTTAATTCCGATACATTATTTTATCGGCATCGTTGGCTATCTTTGGGGCCAATTTTAATAGGCAATTGGGCAATAGCATACCTTGTTCCTGATTTTGCATACATATGATTTGTTATTTCTTCATTTCCTAAACTTGTTACCTTGAATTCCTGCTTCCTTTATATCTTTATTTCTCCATTGTTTTAAGCAGCAGCAGCAACAACAAGGTAAAGATTTAAAGGACAAATAATTTTATTGTAACTTAAGCTGTCTCTTCCATTAACTGATTTTGGGGAATAGTTAATCATGCTCAAACCAATTATGAACAGCTAATAAAGATTTATATTGCCATGATTAAGATGGCAGAGAGTCTATAGTTAGTAATAACTGAGGGGATATGGCATGGACTGAATTTTGTTCATTTTGAAGCTACAAAGAGTGAGTCAAAATCAAAGAGTAGATGGAATGACTTGCAGTGCTATAAAGAGGGCAGTCCAGAAAGATCTTAATATTTTTTGGGGTGGCACTGAGAAGAATGAGTAGCGATGTCTTACTTACTTACTTACTATATATAAAGCCCAGTGATTTCCTTCTCCATTTGCTAAAAAAAGTCCCCCGGTTCACTTGAAGTTTACTTCTCCTTTTTGCAATTTGTTTGATATCTAAAATTGCAATGAAGGGCTTGTCTCTGACTTTAAAATAGAAGCTGAACATCTGGTTTGGTTCTTTTTTTTCTGGTTTGAAGGATGTATGCTAAGCATACTTTGTCATTTTGGGCAACAAAATAAGCTATGCTCTGCTTAGCATTAATATGCTAACTTAATATTATACAGTACTGTCTCAGTATTATGATTCAAGTTCTTTGTTAGGCTAACAATTATCTTACAAGTTAAATCAAATTTTGCTTAGGGTATATAGAATTGTCACTACTTTGATCACCACTGTAGATGGTCTACAGTGGAAACCTGAAGAAGGTGCAGTTTTATTACCTTTGGATTTACTGGCAGATTTTAATCCTGATGGCCACAGCTTCTTTCTGGTCAACCTGCAGAATTAAGTTTTGGAACATTATATTTTGATTGCACAAGCTTTTTCTACTGGACTGTGGTTAGAAAGAGAGATCATCTGTGTCAAGTCTGCTAACATTGGATGTTATTGCTTGACATATGTGTAGGCTACACATCTGACAATCTGTTTGGCATCGTGGTTTGTTTGCCTTATGGTATTCTATAGGGCTATTTTATCTCCTGTATTTTGTATCCCCAAACTTTTTGACATATTTAATATTTTGAGAGTATGTTGTGGGTACACTAAGAAAAAGTTGCTGTAGTATGTTTGCCCATTTGCAAAATCCTTATAAACCTGTGCAGGTTTTTAAGATTTACAGGAGAAGCAGGCATGTGGGAAAAAAGGATGTTAACTTAATTTGCTCACACATAATGGGACCTGTTTGGAGTTCTGGTTAGTTGCTTACTCTTATTACTTTCTGAAAAAGTGCCAAGTTGCATCTTTTTAATGTATTCTCTAAATGGTAATTGGTTTAATGTTTTTAATATATTTCATTGCTGTACTATGTGGCTATTTGAATTGAATACATTATTTTAACAGTACTCAGAAAAGTGATATAGAATTATTTTCATTGTATAAAATAAATCTGCAAGAAAGGTGGGAAACTAAGAAAGTATCTTATCTTAACTGAGCAAGAAATTCTGAAACTGCAGTTACCACATGAGAAAGACAAGGAAGCACAGAATCATGTGAGTGATTAACTTTTTTTAAGATAAAGTATACTTTGGAGTGCTATCTTAATTAAAATTCTATTTCTGTTGTAATCTGGCTATAGCCATGGAGAAAGCTTAACTCTTCATTAAGAATATGCTTATTAGTGATTTTCCTTATGAGGTGCCACAAGGGTCAGTCC